TCTAGCCAGAGCACCCCCACTGGACGGTTCCAGGGGTCTGGTCGAGGACAACACCTACTTTCCTCAGGGCGGTGAATTACATCACTGGGTACATGCGAACCCTATGCTGCCCAAGTTCAACGATCCCGCCCCTGGGGCGGCCACGAGGAACGTAAAAATCAATACCTGAGGGATAGGATCGGGCGTTGGCAGAACTGGGTTGAGTGCAACCTGGTTTAGTGATTTGTACCGGGGGCGCCCCCCCCCGTCCCATTTCCGCTAACCGGAACTGCCGTCACCCGAAAAACACAAGTTACGGCAAACCTGGTTTAGTGAATCTGGCCAATTGAGGGGCTCCAGGGCCCTACCACTAACCGGGTCCCCTTACCCGGGTTCCTGGCTATACCCGATAGGAGGAAGAGGATGAGGCGTGGAGGAGCAGCAAGAGTTGGAAACAGAAGCGGGAGAACGACGAGGAGCACGATCAGTCCTCAGGACATACTCCTCCCACTGCGGAGACACGAGCCGGTACAGCAGCATCGCGGTTCGAGCGTCCTCCGCCGGGTCGTGGGCGTGCCCCGGCGAGTGCAGCTCCTGGCTCCTCCTTGCTCGTCGTCCTCCTCCTCCTCCTCCTCCTCCTCCTCCTCCTCCTCCTCCTCCTCAAGATCGCCGCCAGGAAGAAGAGAAAGCCTGAAGGACAGGGCCCTGGCGTTTTTTCGCTGCCTCGACCTCCCGCCAGTGCCCCCGGCCACGCATGGGCGTTAAAACGCTGCTCAAGATGAAAAACCGACCCTGGGACCCTGGACCCGTTCACGCCAGGGCCGTGCCGATTCATATTTCCACTCCTCCTCCCTCCCCCCTCCTCTCCCGCGCCCCCCCTCCCTCGTCGCTGCCGATGCTGAAAAATCCTCCTCCCCCCGCCTGCTCCCCCCGCCCTTCCTCCTCCTCCTCCTCCTCCGCCTCCTCCTCCTCTACCTACTCCTCCTCCTTCTCCTCCCCCCTCCTCCTCCTCCTCCCCCATCCTCCTCCTCCTCCTCCTCCTCCTCCTCTCCTCCTCCTCCTCCTCCTCCTCCTCCGCCTACGCCTCCCCCTCCCTCCTGCCCCTGCCTCCGGCCTCCCCTCTCCCCCCCCCCTCCCTCCTCCCTCCTCCCTCCTCGTCGTCCTCTCCTCCTCTTCTCTCTCCCTCCTCTCCTCCCTCCTCCCCCTCTCTCCCCCTGCCTTCTCCCTCCTCCCTCCTCTGCCCCCCCTCCACAATTGCACAATGAATACTACTCCTCTCTCTCCCCTGGTGCCATCCGGGAATATTCGGCCTCCTCCACGTGCAGGTTTCTTACACACAAGATTCCCGGGAAACTGGTTTTCGCTTGGATTGTTTTTCAAAAGGCTGCTCTCGCTGAAACGCTGGCCTCATTTTCCTTCCGCGCTTCCGCTCGTTCCGACTCGCTCCCCCGCTGCAGCGCTGGCCTCATTATTTTTGGCGCCTTGCCACGGCATGGCTATCGGTCCTGCCAAATAGGCCCGAACATCTAGAAAGTGGCCACCCGAAAAACCATCGGAAGTGATTACACATTCGGTGCCAATGGCCACCCGAAACAAAAACAGAAAGAACAGTAAAAAAACCGAAAGTGGCCACCCGAAAAAAACATCGGAAGTGAGTACACATTCGGTGCCGATTCGTTGACTGCTTGGGTCGGCGCGTCGCCACGCCACGCTATGCCATGTGATGCTCTGCCCTGCTGCGACAGCCGACCGTGCGAATCGAGAGGAGATATAAACCACGGTAAGGGATTGCCGGGAGGGGCAGGACGTCAGATATGACGCGAGCGCATCTGGCTTGTCCCTCCCCCCTCCTCCCTTCCCCCTCCGCCCTCCTCCCTCCTCCCCCCTCCCCCCTCCCCCCTCCTCCCTCCTCCCTTCTCCTTCTCCTTCTCCTCCTCCTCCTCCTGCTCCTGCTCCTGTTCCTGTTCCTGCTCCTGCTCCTGTTCCTGTTCCTGCTCCTGCTCCAGCTCCTGCTCCTGCTCTTCGTCTTCGTCCTCCTCCTCCTCTTCCTCTTGCTCCTCCTCCTCGTCGTCCTCCTCCTCCTTCTCCTCCTCCTCCTACTCTTCCTCCTCCGCCGCCTATTCCTTCTCCGCCTCCTCCTCCGCCTTCTCCTCCTCCCTCCCCCCTTCCTGCATCACGCCTCGCGCCTCCTCCTCGTCCTCCTCCTCTTTTTCTAATATTAGTTATTACTACTCGTATTATCACTAGTACTACTCTTAGCATGATTATTATGATTATTATTAATACTTATATGTACTACGATTCGTCTTCCTATGGTTAATTGTATATTTACTTTACAAATTCGCCGGCCCAACGGGCCAGAGGCGTGCTAAGATCTCCGGTAACTGGTAAACAATATTTCTGGTTCGCGCGCGCGGGACGGCCCCTGGGGGTCCCTGGATCAAAAAAACCACGAGAGGAGCCCGGGACACGCCCGGGACACTCCCCCAGATCCTCCAGGATCGCCCCAAGAGGGCCCCAAGAACGCCCCCAACACAATCCAAGAGAGGTCCGAGACGCCCGAAGATCGCTCCACGGCGCCCAAGATGGCCTCCAGACGGCCCAAGAGGTCTCCAAGATGACCCAACAAGCCTCCAAGATGCCCCAAGAGGCCTCCAGGAGCACTCCCAAGAGGTAAAAATCAATGCTTTTTCTTAGATTTTGGACAGATTTGGGCGTTTCAACCTTTTCGGTTCCCCGACGCCCCTAAACGGCTCAAGAGGCCTCCAAGATCGCCCCAAGAGGGCCCAAGAGGCACTCAAAAGGGCCCCAAGACGGCCCAAGACGGCTCCAAGTTGGCCCCAAAGGCCTCCAAGACGGCCCAAGAGGGCCCCAAGAACGCCCCCAACACGGTCCAAGAGAGGTCCAAGACGCCCGAAGATCGCTCCACGACGCCCAAGATGGCCTCCGGACGGCCCAAGACGTCTCCAAGATGGCCCGAGAAGCCTCCAAGATGCCCCAAGAAGCCTCCAAGAGAACTCCCAAGAGGGCCCCAACAGGCAAAACACTGTGTTTCCTTTGGTTTTGGACAGATTTATCGACAACTACACAACTCCCGACGCCGCAGCTCCACACTGCAAACGACCACTCGGACAGGCGACCACGGTGCGACATCATGGGCCGGCGGAATGAGCGAAGCGATTCAATAATATTAGTATGTTTCATCGCCTTGTTGTTGTTGTTATTATTATTATCGTTATTATTATCATTATTATTATTATTATTATTATTATTAATATTATTATTAATATTAGTATTAGTATTATTATTATTACCATCATTATTATTAGTAGTATTATTATTATTCGTATTATTATTATATTATTATTATTATCATCGTAATCGTATGTTCATTCACTATGCTGATCATTGTTGCTAGCAGTAGTACTGCTATTATTGCTATTATTATTATTATCATTATTAATATTATCACTATTACTATTACTATTACTATTACTATTATCATTATACCTCCCCTTCCCCCTCGCTCACGCCTCACACATTGTGAATACGACTCTCCTCTTGTCATATGTTTTCACACACAGGAGCTAAACAGTTGAATGTCTTCGGTGCGTGTCCAATCCAATCGTTCGTGGTCCTTCAAAATCGTGCTCCCGCTGCAGCGTTTGCCTCATTTCCGCGCGTTCGGTCCTTCAGCCAAAACCGTATTCCCGCTGCAATGCTGGTCTCATGTGCGCCTTTTCGGTCCTTCCGAATCGTGTTCCCGCTGCTGCGCTGGCCTCATTTCCGCGTTGTCGGTCCTTCCGAATCGTGCTCCCACTGCAAGCAATTCAGTGCTATGCGATTTACTGTTTGTAATGCGATTGCACGCCTTGCTCTACAATGCTGTGATATACAACGCTGGGCTACGCAATGCCATGCCATGCAATGGCATGGTATGCAATGCTGTGGTATGTACCGCTATGCGATGGCGGTGCCATATTTTGCGCTGCAATGCTATGCTATGTAATGCTTGACTGCGCAATGCTTTGCCATGCTATGCATCGCGTACCGTTGGGGGATCGGTGTAGTCTTCGACATGCGACAGGGCGAATAGAGAGGGGCTATATGTAATGGTGAGGGATGGGGAGGGGTAGGACGTCAAGATATGACGCGAGCGCACCTAGCCTGCCAACTCTTCCCCTCCCCGACTCCGCATCGGCCGTACTTTGATTGAGCGTCCTACTTGCAGCTGTGTCGGAAATGCACCCCAAACGATGAGAAAACATAGGGCGGGCATTTCCGCCTCGGAGTGGCAGGGCGGACATACCAGCAAAAGTGCGACGGAAACAACGACGGTGAGGCAGGGCGGGAATCGGCATCAGAGGAGCTTGAACCATAAGGCGACAATATCCGCCCTACCTGAGAAATCGCACAGAAAAGACGGATCCAGAGTCAGGGCCCTCCTCGCGCATCTCCTCGCCCAGGCCTCCCTGCAGGCACTTCGGGTGGTGCGGCGCGGACTCCTCCTCCTCCTCCTCCTCCTCCTCCTCCTCCTCCTCCTCCTCTCCTCCTCCTCCTCCTCCTCCTCCTCCTCCTCCTACCCCACCCCATTCCCCCCATTTCCCCCATTCCCCCATTCCCCCCATTCCCCCCCTCCTCCTCCTCTCCTCCTCCTCCTCCTCTTCTCCTCCTCCTCGTCCTTCCCTCCCCTCCTCCCTCCTCCCTCCTCCTCCTCTCCTCCTCCTCCTCCTCCTCCTCCTCCTCCTCCTCCTCCTCCTCTTCCTCCTTCCTCCTCCTCCTCCTCCTCCTCCTCCCCCTCCTCCCTCCTCCTACTCCTCCTCCTCCTCATCCTCCTCCTTCCCTCCCCTCCTCTTCCTTCTCCTCCTCCTCCTCCTCCTCCTCCACCTCCACCGCCTCTGCCTCCGCCTCCGCCTCCGCCTCCGCCTCCGCCTCCTCCTCCGCCCCCGCCCCCGCCTCCTCCGCCTCCTCCTCCTCCTCCTCCTCCTCCTCGCACGTAGCCCAGGAAAGTCCAAACCTCCTCACCGCTCTACCTCGGCCTGCTGCAGCATCTGGGCACGTGCAGCACGTGCCGAACAATCGAGAGACTGGGTGGGGCAACGACGATGTGCGTTGTGCATGTAGTATGCAATGATCATACGCTGGCACGCCACGTCACGCTCAATATCTGTAAGCGCGCGATGAAGGGCGGGCCGCGAAAGAATAGGTTGGGGGAGAGGCGTCTCGGGATACCAGGCAGCAGTGATCGCGGCCCACAACCTGGGACAGCACATGTAGTGAGCCTGCCTGTCCGAGGCCTCTTCCTCCAAACATCCAAAAATGCACTGGCAATGCTTCTGCGACATCCTCCTCTCCGTCACCCACCCACCCGCCAGAGTCTTGACAATGCACATCTGCCACGATGGTGGCGCTTGCAATAGACGAGCGCGGAGAGCAAGCCAATCGATGGCTTTCAGAGCAGGAGCTGTCCGTGGCCACATGGCCCATGAGGCAATCATACGCTTGATGGTGCCCCCAAATTTGTCTTGAAAGAGAGCAGCGCCCAGGGAACGACCGAAAACTCGCTGGACCTGGACCCGCGGTTTCACAAGCTGCACCTCCGCGAGAGCCTTTCTGGCTAGGATGAACGGCCCCCGAAGCCGATCACACTCCTTGAAACCCGACTCGGCCAACGCAAGCTCTTGCACAAACGGTCGTCTCTTCCAAAATGGGGGCAGCCAAATATTTGCCGCCCAGCGTGCGCATGGCAAGAATCGCTTGGCCTTCTGCTGCATTCGCAGGAAGAGAGGCCTCCAATTCAAGATAGTCTGCAAGGCCGCCCTCCAGAGCGTTGCAGTTCCCTGAACCTGAAGCGAGAGTGGGCGCACCTTGGCCCATGCCCTCACGGCAAGGAGGTCAGCAAGAGGGAACGCGCAAGAGGGGAGGCGAAGGACACGGTGAAGAGCCCAGGACCCCCAGCGCGCAATCTGCTTCGGGAGGGGGGCAAGTTGACAGAGGTAGGAGAATTTGGAGATGGCGCGAGAGTTATAAAGCTGGGTCGCCACCGAGGGGGCGGCCTGCTGCTTCGTGATAGCATTCACCACCCCCACCCACTCCAGAAATATCCTCGCCCACATCTCATTGTTCGCAGCAGGGCCGATCCACGCCCCAAGGTATTCTGCCATAGGCAGCACAGGAATATGTTTCCAGCTCGGGGCATGCATCTCAAGCAGAGCCTCTATCTGTTTTTGCAGGAACGGTGAGAACTCTGCCTCCAGGGGAACGGTACAGCACTTGGGTATTTTTAATTGGAAACCCGCAAGGACCTACAAAAAAAAAAAAAAAAAAAAAAAAAAAAAAAAAAAAAAAACACCGCGTGCTCTCTTGAGTGCCTTGACCTCTGACAAAGCCAAGCCCACGTCGTCCGCGCAAACCCCCGACTCCGACCCAGGTGAGAGGTCAAGGCGCTGCCTGAGAGCCCTCAGAAGAGGGTCCATAGACATGGCCCACATTGAGCCGCTCGCAGGGTCTCCATGCATCGCGCCAGAGCAAATTACACCGAAATCCAGGAGTTGTCCCAAGAGAGGGGCCTTCGCGCACGCGAATGCATACGACGCCGGAAAAAAAGAAGCCATGAAACCAGTCGGCATCCCAAGGAACTGAATGACTTCCCAGAGGAAGATGTGAGCGAGGGAGGGAAAGGCGTTGCCGAAGTCAGAGAGGAAGAGGATGAGGTGACGCTCCCTGGCCTGGTCGGGCATCCCTAGGATCCTGGATGCGGTGTCCAGGAGGGTGATGTTCTCTAAACATGATCGACCCACGAAACCGGAAAGGAATATAGAAATGTAAGGCATTGCAACATTTCAAGGACACCTGATTGGGCGACGGGCACATGCAATGCTGAATGTATCGATGATGATGTACTGTGCCGAGGGCTGTGCTGTGCTACGCCGTGCTGAACTGCGATGTGCCATGCCGCGATTGTGCTCTATATAGCGTTGTGGATCGAGTCCTCCCTGGCATCCGAGTCCTCACCGAACTGATGTGGAGCGCAAGCTCGAGCTGCCTGAGCATATGGTAGCTGCCCCAGAACTAATCGACAGAGGGAACATGCCAGGAGGACGCGCCGCGGAACGTCCCAAGGGACGCGCCAGGCGACGTGCCAGTGGACGTGCCATGGGGACGCACCGCGGAACGTGCCAAGGGGACGCGCTACGGAACGTGCCAATGGACGTGCCGAGGGACGTGCCAGGGGACGCGCCGCGCGACGTGCCAGGTGGACTCGCCACGGAACGCGCCAAGGAATGTGCCAAGGTGCATAGTTGAGTGTATCGATCTTGATGTACCGTGCCGACGGCTGTGCTGTGCTGGGCCGTGCTGAACTGCGATGTGCCATGCCGCGATTGTGATCTATATATAGCGTTGTGGATCGAGTCCTCCCTGGCATCCGAGTCCTCACCGAACTGATCTAGATCGTAAGCTCGAGCTGCCTGAGCAGATGGTAGCTGCCCCAGAACTAGTCGACAGAGGGAACATGCCAAGAGGACGCGCCGCGGAACGTCCCAAGGGACGCGCCAGGCGACGTGCCAGTGGACGTGCCATGGGCACGCACCGCGGGGCGTGCCAAGGGGACGCGCTCCGGAACGTGCCAATGGACGTGCACCGCGCGACGTGCCAGGGGGCTCGCCACGGGACGCTCCGCGGAACGTCCCAGGCAACACGCCATGCTGCAATGCTAAGGGTTTCGATATTGATGTACCGTGACGAAGGCTGTGCTGTGCCTGGGCGACCTGGACACGTGAAAACACGCGTTTCGCTCAAGACGTTGTCAGCACATCCTCATGCTAGACATCCGCCTGGGCAACCTGAGCACGTGCAAACAAGCGTCTCGCTCGAGAGACATCCTCAACAAATGCTCATGCTAGACATCCGCCTGGGCGACCTGGACACGTGAAAACAAGCCTCTGGTTCGAGACATCCTCAACAAATCCTCATGCTAGACATCTGTCTGGGCCACTTGGAGGCGTGAAACCAAGCGTCTCGCTCGAGACATTCTCAAGACTTGGGCAAGTGAAAACATGCAATCCACTTGAGAGATCCTCAGAATTCATGTCCCCAGGAGAGGGCAATCTATAACGCAAAATAAGCGTTTCGCTCGAGACATCCTCAACAAATTCTGAAAACCAAGCGTTTCGCTAGGGACATCCTCAATGTTTAATTCGCCGGCCCTGCGCGACCTCGTTATTTATCGCAAAAGAAATTCGCCGGCCCTACAGCCGTCAAAACCGGGGGGAAACCTACTAAAAGAGAACCCTGGGCTCAGGCCCTTTCCGGGAAAAATCCCACCCGATCAGAAATCCTTTCTGGTCCTTCTGCGCCTGCGAACTTAGCACCTTCTTGAACTGGAAATTACGCACCGACGAAAGCACTTTCACATCTGCATTCTTGAGCGCCAGGGGGCGTGTGGAAGCAGCCTCGCGCACCGCGCTCTGGCTGTCATCCTCACGTTTGCCCTTTGGCGCAAAAACTAAAAGAATATCATTCATGCCAGCGCGCGCGCGCGTGCGTGCGTGTGTGTGTGCGGGGGGGGGGGGGGGGGGGGGGGGGGGGGCCAGCCCGGAGGTGGAAGAGGAGGTCGTGTAGAATCTCAGCCGATCGCGAATGCTGCTGCCAGGCTGCGCATGGGAGCCCGCCTGGCCCTGGCGCCGTAGGTTTGGCCCTGGCGAGCGCCCCCCGAATCTGTGAGACAGTTGGGACCGAGGCCTCGGACCAGTCAAAGGGCCGAGCATGCTTTTGAAGATACCTACGAACGTGCTTGACAGGAACCTGCTTCCAAGCAAAGACTGGGGCCCAGCGTCGATGCAGCTCCGACGCCATCTCCTGCGCATTCGATGCAACGGCGCCGACAGGGCTCATCAGAGCCTGAAGAGGGGGAGTCTTCCTCGACGGGGCCCAAAGTTTGGCCCTTCTACGCCCCGCATACATATGAGCCCTTAAACGCTTGCGCTCCTTCATTGCCTCAGATGACTTCATTGCTGCCTCGGCTTCTGCCAGCCTGCGCTCGACGCGGTGCTGCTGGAGTTCTTCATATTGCCGACGAAAGACGATCGCAGACCTAAGAACGACGAGACCCTCATTCTCCAGCAACAGGTGTTCGTCGGCTGCAGGGACAGTCGCAAGCAACTTGGAGGCCAGGCGTACATCATTCAAATTCACTGCACGGGCAATTGAGCGGAAAATCATGATTTTCGTCTCCAACTCAGGGGCCTGTTGTTTTATCAAAGAATCTCTTGTCATGCGGGCCGCTTCCCGAAGGAGTCGCTTGCACCCTCGCCATCCGGATATGGCGGGGAGAGAGAAAAGGGGAGAGCGGGACAACAAGAGCGAGAGGAAATTCGAGAAGGCAGGGGGGCAACAGACATGGCGTGGGATTGGCCGCTCACGCAGCGGGCGCGGCGGGCGAGTGGCAAGGGTCACACGCGCAGGCGCGTGATCAGAAATGCCGCGGCCGAGGAGCTCCTCTGGCCTGTCCAGCACCGTCGCCGACATGGCCCAGTCGAGGAGCAGCCAGCCAGGGGTCGAGATGAACACCTTGTCCAACTGCGAAAGCCTCTCACCATCCGCCACGTAGCGCGTGGGCTGCTCAGGGTCCAGCTCCACTAGGCCCGCCAGAGCACCCAGCCATTGTTCACCTCCCTCTCTGTGCCGCATCTGGTCGAGCAACCCCTTGTCGATCTCAGGCGTCGCAATATACATCGCAGCCTTCTCATGGAAGTTGAAGTCGCCCATCGGCATGACCGTAGACCGATGAGGGTTCCCCGCAGCAATCTCTGCCTCCGCCGCGATTATCCTCATCAATGTCTGGGCCGTCGCCTCATCCAACCCAAAATTGTGCATGTTGTAAATCACCATCATAGGTTCCTGCCTGCGCGTGCCATTCGAACTTGAGGCCCGCGCCATAATCTGTAATCTCTGCACGTATCCAGGTGCAATCACACTGTGACGGATACGCCCCTCCTCCATCGCCTTTTTCGCCTCGCACTGAGACAAACCACGAAGAGTGATCGCAGCCCCGCCAGCATGATGTCTTGGCATTGAAGCAAACACCGCCGTTTTCTTGTGAGTCAAGTATATCTGGTGTCTCAGCTCCTCCTCTGTACCATGCGTCTCCTGCAACGCAATCATAGTGCGTGGACGAATCACCTCCGCCAGCCGCGTATATTTGATCTTACGAGTGGATGGGAGGTGATGAAGAAGAGCACGAGTGTTCCAGGTGATAAAGGAAGGGACAACAGAGGAGAGAAAAAGAGAGATCCTCATGCCACGGCTGCAATATACGGTTAAAGCTGCCGCCGTATCTCCTCCGCCGCGTGAAAGATACCGTTGAACCTCGCCAAAAGGGCGTCCTTATCCACATTTTGCGAACTAGCCACCGCATAGTTCCAAAGGAGCTTGGTCGGGCCATCTTTTTTCTTGGCCAACATCGAGCTGAACGCACGGCGCGCCTTTCAAGGATATGATTCCTTTCGTCCGATCATGTCTGACTCGTGCATTCCGAAGTAGTTCACGAACCAGGCCACCCATTTTCTTAGTTTGGATTTCACGTCGCACCATTTTGTCACTTTTGTCCAACCCAACAAAGATCCTGGACTGGCCCCCTTCAATCGTAGGCGTGCTGAACTGCCTCCACTCACCGTCCTGCCTGAGATTGCGCTGTGCCTGTTTGACCTTCCGCATAACCGCATTCGCGTCACCCGACATCTGCACCTTGAATCTCCTGCCTGGCGTGTTACCGATGACCGACCAATGTTGCTCCTCGAAACCTGCTTCCTCCATCCAGCTCTTGAGCTGGTTCTTGATATTCTCGATAGTGACGTTGGGCTCAGTGTTCGCCAAGAAGATCGAGCCGTCTGGATCCCTGTCCCACTCCATCGCACTGACGAGGTCTTTGATCGGGACCGTCGTCTCGGCAATGTGGAGCTGACGTCTGAGCTGCTCCATCTCCGTGCGCACGTGCTGTTGCTGGACTTTGAAAGTTGATTGCCGCGTACGTAATTCATCCAATTCACCCCTCACATGTGTGTTGACCCTTTCTTGACGCTCACTGACGGCTTTGACAAGCTGCACTGTGTAACCATTGATATCAGCGATGATCCCCTTCTTTGTCTCATCCATGCGCGCGTCGAAGGACCGCTCCATGTCATTCTTGAATGCCGCCAGCATTTCGTCAATGGCACCCCGCGAGATGACCGATGAGCTGTCACTGCTTTCAGCTTGGCCTCGGTTCGCAGGGTTTGCAGCCGAAGATCCCGCCCATGGGTCAACTGAGCCTTGAAGAGGATCTGCAGAGCGAGCACCAGCAGCAGGACGACGCAGTGAGCCCTGCCCAGGCACTTGGCGTGGACCTGGCGAGGTACGAGAACCCTCTCCACCCGATCGTGAACGTGTATCACCCGACCCACGGCCACCTCCCCGCTCTTGACCTTGGCGGGCAGCGGCTGGTCCAAGAGCAGGCGCGGCCGCCGGCCTCCTCCTCCTCCTCCTCCTCCTCCTCCTCCTCCTCCTCCTCCTCCTCCTCCTCCCCCTCCTCCCCCTCCTCGTCGTCCTCGTCGTCCTCGTCGTCCTCGTCGTCCTCGTCGTCCTCGTCGTCCTCGTCGTCCTCGTCGTCCTCGTCGTCGTCCTCGTCGTCCTCGTCGTCCTCGTCGTCCTCGTCGTCCTCGTCGTCGTCGTCGTCCTCGTCCTCGTCCTCGTCCTCGTCCTCGTCCTCGTCCTCGTCCTCGTCCTCGTCCTCGTCCTCGTCCTCGTCCTCGTCCTCGTCCTCGTCCTCCTCCTCCTCCTCCGCCTTCGCCTCCGCCTCCGCCTCCGCCTCCGCCTCCGCCTCCGCCTCCGCCTCCGCCTCCTCCTCCTCCTCCTCCTCCTCCTCCTCCTCCTTCTCCCCCCGCGCCCCCGCGCATCTCCTGGCCCAGCCACGCGCGCGCCAGGGCGCGCAGGGAAGGCGGCCCGGCGTGCGAGCGGCCGTCCAGGCCCGCCTTCAGCAGCGGGCAGAACGCCGTGTCCCGGAGGAGCAGGCGCCTGCCCCGTCCATCCTGGACCCTCCCTCCCGCCCTCCCTACAGGGCAATTTTTAATACATAGGATTTAAAATTACGGGTTTTTAATACATGACTAATCTATGAATAATGTTTTACATGAACTCATAGTTGTTTTTAGTACTAATTCCTTGCATTTTGAATACATGATCCGCACGCGGAGCATGTATTAAAAACGGCACTGTACCCCTGTCTTCCCATCCCCCTCGTCCCCGCTCCCACCCTCCAGCCCCCCTCCCTTCTGCATCGCCCCAAGACGGCTCAGGAGGCGCCCAAGAGGGCCCAAGAGGGCCCCCAACAGGGGTCCGAGAGAGGGAGCACGAATCGAACCTCCGAGCCTTCCGCCCCAAGAGGCCCCCAGGAGCTTCCAAGAGGCGCCCAGGAGGCCCCAAGAGGCCTCCAAAAGGCCCCAAGAAGCCACCAAGAGACCCAAAAGAGGCTCCAAGAGGCATCAGAACTGTCCCCAAGAGGCGTCCAAACTGCATCCAAGAGGCCCCCGAGAGGTCCCCCACGAGATCCCAAAGAACATCCACTAGGCGTCATACCACCACAACGCAGGCACAGTGGAGGGATGGGCCGAAGGCCAATAGATAAGTAAAATCAACCCAGTAAAAAAGCATTGATGCGAATATCCCCAGATATGCGTCACAACTCCTAGCGCTTCCGTCTGCCGTCTGTGAGTGTCCGAATGACAGAACCTCAGCCCATGGCGGCTGAGCGATGCCTGGCGGTTCCCCAATGGAGTGCCAAAATGCTATGCCTGCCACCTCGAGATGCCGTTGGGGCTCTGAAAGGGGAAGGGTCGGGAATGCCTGAGCAATCACTTCGTCAGACTCGCTTGAGACATCCTCACGAACTGCTCTGAGAACAACGGACTCCCAGCCACGCAACGAGCGCCACGTCCGCCTCTTCATCACTCAGGCATCCCCTCCCTCGGCCTACAACTCCATGTTATCGATCGAGGTCGTCCTCCGTCATTGGGGTGCTGGAACCAGTCCAGACATTCCCACCGTCTGCTCTGAAAAGCACCGACACCGAAGTCCAAAGCACCAAGCAAACGAATCACCTGAGATATCCCCACAGTCTGGGCGCGAACAGGCCCGTGAACCTCTCTGTGGCGCCCCCGGGATGCTGAGATCAGCGCCTGGCCCGGCACATCCTCTCGGGGATGGACAGACCTCCCTTTAGCAAAACGTGGTGTATTGAGCACGACCTAAGGCCCGAACCTGGCGGGCGCAAGCCTCGAAAATAACGGCCGCGGCGCCCTCTCGAGAACCGAAAACGGACAATTCACTAATCGACGTGTCACTGTTGGGGTTTCTGTCCACCCCCGATCCTCACCATGATCGGAGAGTGCCGAAATCCAAGCCACCAAACAAGCAAACCACCCGAGACAGCCCCACACTCGGGGCGCGACCGGGCTCGTGAGCTACCCAATGGCGGCTGCCTAAGTCGGCGCCTCGCTCGAGACATCCTCACAGCATGGTATGAAAAAACACAAACGTCCAAACCACGAAAACAATCACACCGCAGCCTGGGCGCGAACGTGCCCGTGAAATGCCTCCTGGCTGGCCCCGTGGGATGCCTCGCTCGAGGCATGCTCACTGTGCGAGTCTGAATGTGAGTGGGTCTGAATGTCGCCCCGCCCGTGGTGTGCGAAAGCTGGGCGCATACGACTGTGAGTGGGTGCGTTCGTGAGAGGGTCCTTGTGTGAGTGGGTCTGAGTGTGAGTGAGTCTGAGTGTGAATATGCCTGGGCGTGGAACGGTCATGCAATGCTCCACCTTGCGTGGCGGAAATAGGTTCCGCGGTGATATAATATCAGGCTGTTTGGTGTTGTCGTCCGCGTCCGCGGCCCACCCACGATCCACCCGCGACATGCCCGCGACCCACCCGCGACCCGCCCGCGACCCACCCGCGACCCGCCCGCGGCCCACCCACATTGCCTTGATTAAACCATCTGAGCGCGCGGCGGTCTCGGCGTGCCATGTGTAAACGTGCAGCGCTTGGGCTCTAATCAGAACCCCCCCTTCTCTAGTCGCGGACCGCCGCATGACCCCCCCCCCATACAGTAGGAACTCGACCACAAGAAACCTTCCACAAGAAGCCCAACCCTGAGACCCCATGACGTCCATTGAGTTTTGGTTTGGAATTGTCTCGCTTGCCATCGCAAAACCATCAACACCCAAGAAACCCATCGCACCCTGGAGGCAAGCAGGGGGTTTCTTGGCATGGGTTTCTACTTCACTCCCGAGGCCACGATCACTCTTAAAAAGCCATGGGTCCGCGCTCGCGAAGCCACGATACCTCGTGAGAGAACTATGGAGCCGCGTCCTGAGCTTCCAGTGCTGCCCATGCAGGCGACCCAGGACAGCAAAATGGCCTAAGACGCCTCGAAAAAAGACAAATATGACCCCAAGGCGGCCGAGTATGGCCTCCAGACGGCCCAAGAGATGCGCCTTCACCGGCATCGATGCTTCCTGCCCCCCAGCCTTCGCCAGGGGGAACCACCCCAGCATGCCAGAGCCTCGGCACCCAGTGCTGGATCGAAGTGGCCGCTTCTGCGCACAGCAATAATCGGAGGAGGACGACGACGAGGGCACGGGCACAGACGGGGGCACTAGATCGCGGTGATCACCAGGCTCTCACAAGAGACTATTCTGATCAACCAAGATCAACCAAGCACGCAAACCACCTGAAGAGTCCCCGTAATCTGGGCGCGAACGGGCAAGTGTCCTGCCCCCCTGGCGGCTTCCCCATTGGGGTGGCCAGACGCCACGCCTGATACAGCGCGGTGGCCATGGGGCTCTCATCATACATGTGTCTGACCAGCCAAACGCGCAACCTGTCTGACACATCCCCACAATCTGGCCGCAAACGGGCAAGTGTCATACCCCCCCTGGCGACTGCCACTTGGGGTGCCCCAGTGCCGCATCTGCTATGCCGCGATAGTCACACTGTGAGTGCGAATGGATATAATTCGAGTGGTATGTGTGTGTACGACTCTGAGTCTGTTCTGGCTGGGTAGAGTTTATCTGGGGAGTGGTCTGCGTATGAGCGAGTTTGAGTATGAGCAAGTCTGAGTATCACTGGATCTGAGTGAGAGTGAGTCTGAGTATCGTGAACTGGTCTGCGTGTGAGACTGAACATGAGTGATCTGAGTGTGATCAGGGGGGAACGAGAAAGAAATAATAAGATGGAGGCGCCCCAATAATAACAACAATACGCTACTCCGGATAGTTGTGTATATATATACCAGGAGAGGGTTATATATAGAGAGAGATGAATGAAGTAATGAAAGGAGAAAAGAAGGAGAGAGAGAGAGAGAAAGAGAGAGAGAGAGAGAAACCTAATACCTAAGAAAGAGAAATATAACAACACCTGGGAGAGAGAGAGAGAGAGAGAGAACAACAACAACAACAACAACAACAACAACAACAACAACAACAACAAGGAAAAGGCGTGCGTGAGAGCCCCGTGCGCTCTAGCCGTCCGGACCTGCCCTCGCCTTATTGCGAAGGCTGCGCTCAGAGCCCCGTGGACGCATTTTGCCCCCCCCCCCCTCCCCCGGCAACAGCAACAGCAACCAGCAACCCCCCAAAAAAAACCCTGGAATTTCCTTGGACCCCCCTACGGACCTTGACGTGGTCCTACGGGTGAAAAACGTATGCGTGCCGGCGTGCCGCCGCTTCAATACAGATCCGATACACATGGGATCCTGTAGAGATCCGATACAGACTGTATGGGATCCTATACAGATACGATACAGACTGTATAGGATCCTATACAGATCCGATACAGACTGTATGGGATCCTGTAGAGATCCGATACAGACTGTACGGGATCCTGTAGAGATCCGTTATAGACTGTATGGGATCCTGGAGAGATCCGATACAGACTGTATTGGATCCTATACAGATCCGATCTAGACTGTGTGATCCTGTCGAGATCCGATACAGACTGTATGCGATCCTGTAGAGATCCGATACAGACTGTATGGGATCCTATACCGATCCGATACAGACTGTAGGGGATCCTGTAGAGATCCGATACAGACGGTATAGGATCCTAAAGAGATCCGATACAGATTGTATAGAATCCTGTAGATATCCCATACAGACTGTATAGGATCCTACAGAGATCCGATAGAGACTGTATGGGATCCTGTAAAGATCCGATACAGAATGTATGGCATCCTGTAAATATCCGATACAGACTGTATGCGATCCTGTAGAGATCCGATACAGATTGTATGCGATCCTGTAGAGATCCGATACAGACTGTATGCGATCCTGTAGAGATCCGATGCAGACTGTATAGGATCCTGTACATATCCGATATGGGATCCTGTAGAGATCCGATACAGACTGTATTGGATCCTATACAGATCCGATACAGACTGTATGGGATCCTATGAAGATCCGATCTAGACTGCATGGGATCTTGTCGAGATCCGATACAGACTGCGGCTGCGGCCATTTCGGCACACCCCTCACGTGGATCGTGGCCCGCCATTGGGTACCTCCGCCGAGGTCCACAGCGGCTGCGCCCATTTCGGCACACCCTTCACGCGGACCTTGGCCCCCCATCGGGGAGCTCCGCCGAAGGCCCCAGCGGCCGCGGCACACCCCTCACGTGGATCGTGGGCCGCCATCGGGGAGCTCCGCCGAAGGCCCCAGCGGCTGCGCCCATTTCGGCAGACCCCTCACAAGGATCGTGGCCCCCCATCGGGGAGCTCCGCCGAAGGCCCCACAGCTGCGCCCACTTCGGCGCAACACTCACGCGGATCGTGCCCCCCATCAGGGAGCTCCGCCGAAGACCCCAGCGGCTGCGCCCATGTCGGCACACCCCTCACAAGGATCGTGGCCTGCCGCCGGGGAGCGCCGCCGAAGGCCACAGCGGCTGCGCCCATTTCGGCACACCCTTCACGAGGATCGTGGCCCCCAATCGGGTACCTCCGCCGAAAACTCAAGCGGCTGCGCCCATGTCGGCACACCCCTCACAAGGATCGTGGCCTGCCGCCGGGGAGCCCCGCCGAAGGCCCCAGCGGCTGCGCCCATTTCGGCACACCCTTCACGAGGATCGTGGCCCCCAATCGGGGAGCTCCGCCGAAGGCCCCACAGCTGCGCCCACTTCGGCGCAACACTCACGCGGATCGTGCCCCCCATCAGGGAGCTCCGCCGAAGACCCCAGCGGCTGCGCCCATGTCGACACACCCCTCACAAGGATCGTGGCCTGCCGCCGGGGAGCCCCGCCGAAGGCCACAGCGGCTGCGCCCATTTCGGCACACCCTTCACGAAGATCGTGGCCCCCAATCGGGTACCTCCGCCGAAAACTCAAGCGGCTGCGCCCATTTCGACACACCCCTCACGTGGATCGTGGCCCGCCATCGGGCAGCTCCGCCGAAGGCCCCAGCGGCTGCGCCCATTTCGGCACACTCCTCACGTGGATCGTGGCCCCCCCTCGGAAAGCTCCGCCGAAGACCCCAGCGGCTGCGCCCATTTCGGCATTCCCCTCACGTGGATCGTGGCCCCCAATCGGGGAGCTCCGCCGGAGGCCCCACAGCTGCGCCCACTTCGGCGCAACACTCACGCGGATCGTGCCCCCCATCAGGGAGCTCCGCCGAAGACCCCAGCGGCTGCGCCAACTTCGGAATTCCAATGGGGGCCTATAGAATTCCAATGGGGGCCTATAGAATTCAGATAGAGGCCTATAGAATTCCGATGGAGGCGTATAGAATTCCGATGGAGGCCTATATAGAAGTCGTATGGAGGGCTATGGAATTCCGATAGAGGCCTATAGAATTCCTATGGAGGCGTATAGAATTCCGATGGGGGCCTGTAGAACTCGTAAGGAGGCCTATAGAATTCCTATGGGTACCCTTAGAGTACCGATGGAGGCCTATAGAATTCCGATGGAGGCCTATATAGAATTCGTTTGGAGGGCCTATAGAATTCCAATGGAGGCCCATAGATAATTCCCATGACGACCTATAGAATTCCTACGGGGCCTATCGAATTCCTATGGACGCCTACAGAATGTGTATGGGTGCCTATAGAATTCCTATGGAGGCCTATAGAACTCCGATGGAGGCTCATGGAGTTCGTATGGATGCCAACAGAATTCCGATGGGGACCTATATAGAATTCCGATGGATGCCTATAGAATTCCTATGGAGGCCTATAGAATTCCTATGGAAACCTATAGAACTCTAATGGAGGCATATAGAATTCCTATAGGGGGTGCCTATAGAATTCCTACGGAGGCCTATAGAATTCCTACGGATGCTTATAGAATTCCCTGGGAGGCCGATAAAATTCCTATGGGAGCTTATATAGAATTCCTATGGAGACCTATAGAACTCCTATGGGGGCCCATCGAGGCCTATAGGATTCCCATGGGGCCTGTAGAATTCCTATAGCGGCCTATAGAATTCCGATGGGGGCCTATAGAATTCCTAGGGAGGTCTATAGAATTCCTATGGAAGCCTATTGACTTCCTAGGAAATCCTATTAGGGAATCCTTGGCGCCCCCAGGAGACCCCCAGAGAGGGTTGCTCGGTTGCTCGGTTGCTGGGGGGGGGGGGGCGGCCGGGGCTCCCACGCACGCCTTTTCCAACAACAACAACAACAACAACAACAACAACAACAACAACAACAACAACAACAACAACAACAACAAAGTAGGGCAAGCCTATGGTGGAATCGTCGCAAGAGACGGAAGTCGTGGCGCAAGTCGTGACCGACCACCACCGCGCCGTCCAGCAGCGAGTTCGTCCTGCGCACCTGCAGGAAGGAGAAAGAAAGGAAAAGCACCACTGCTGCTGCAGCAGCAGGGAGAAGAGAAGAGGGAGGAGGAGGATGAGGAGGAGGAGGAGGAGGAGGAGGAAGAGGCGGAGGAGGAGGAGGAGGAGGAGGAGGAGGAGGAGGGGGGGGAGGAGGAGGGGGAGGAGGAGGAGGAGAAGGAGGAGAAGGAAGGTTTTGCGTTGCACGGCGGCCACGGCGAACGCGCAGGCGAGAGTGGATAGAGGGACAGCAGAGGGACAGCAGGCAGAGTGCAGTGGACGAGAAGACGAGGGAGAAGGATCATGCAGGAGGACGAAGAAGAGAAGGAGGGCACGGGGAAGCAGCCGCAAGCAAACGGGCCGGGCCAGAGGCCCAGAGATCAGGCCCGCCGGAGACGAGGGTATGGACACTCTGGCCGCGACGCCATGCGGCGGCGGTCGGCGGCAGGTGGAGCGCCGGCCGTCTGGGTCGACAGAGGGAAGGAGTAGAGGGGGAAAACGAGGAATGGGGGAAAGGACGGGGAGGGGACACCAGTCGTCGTCGTCGTCGTCGCCGTTGCCGTCGCCGTCGCCGTCGCCGTGGCCGACGCCGTCGCCGTCGCCGTCGCCGTCGCCGTCGCCGTCATCGTCATCGTCGTCGTCGTCGTCGTCGTCGTCGTCGCCGCCGTCGTCATCGTCGTCGTCGTCGTCGTCGTCGTCGTGGTCGAATGCTGCTGTCGTCGTCTTTGTCGTAGTCGCCGGGGCGGGGCAGAGCGGTGCCACCAGAGGGGGCCAGAGGGGGCTGGGGCAGAGGGGCGGGGAAGGGGAAGGGGGAGGGGGAGGGGGAGGAGGAGGAGGAGGAGGAGGAGGCGGAGGGAGGGAGGAGGAGGAGGAGGAGGAGGAGGAGGAGGGAGGAGGAGGAGGAGGAGGAGGAGGAGGAGGAGGAGGAGGAGGAGGGAGGGAGGAGGGGAAGGAGGGGCGGGGCAGCAGGGGGCAGGGGCAGCGGCAGGCGGCGCGCAGCCTCCCCTCTTGGACCTCCCCGGCGGCACCGCCTCTTCCGTGCCCAGCACCGCGCGGCCCCCGGCGCGCCGGCCGCACGCCCCGGGCGCCGCGGACCCCTGCTCCTGCGGGGTACATCGGGAGAAGAGCACTGATCGTTTCGATCGCCGTGACCGTTGATCGTTCTCGTTGTGATCGTGATCGTGATCGTCGTGATCGTTATCGAGGCCTGGACCCTGAGATGCGCCAGGCTACGCCCAGGAGAGGGGGAAGGGCGTGGGGGGCCGAGGGCTCCTCCCCTCCTGCTGGCCCCCACTCCTCCCCTCTCCCCTCCCTCTCCTCCTCCCCCTCCCTCCTCCTCAACCACCTCTTCTTCCGTGTCCGTCTCTCTTCCCCTCTTTCCCCTCGTCCTCGTCCTCATACTCCTCCCTCCCCTCCTCCCCCTCCCCCTCCTCAGCTGCTGCCCCGGCTCGAGGCTTTGGGTGCTGCTACCAGTGTGGACAAGCAATCACACGCGCCGCCCCGCGCCGCCAGGTGCGGGAAGGACGTGGCCTCACGACGCCCCGCAGGCGCCGCCGTTCAGAGCCTGCCCGGCACCGTCGTGCCAGGGAGAAGAGGACAGCAGCACTTTCTTTGCTGAGAATTGCAGCCGCAAGGCGATTGCTGGACAGCTACTACAGCAGCATGCCTCCAGCTCCGTGGCGAGATCCCTAGTTTTGCTCGCGGTGTAGTTCCAAGCAAGAAGCGTCCTCAGGATGGTGCAACAAGTGCTTCCACGTAAAGTCACCAAGATGTCGTCGAGAGAGGTCGGTTTCTCGTGCTCCCTCAAAGGCACCCGCACCCGAAGCATCGGAGTCAACTGCAAGTGCAGCGGCTGTGCCGAAGACCTCTTCTCCATCATTGACGACGACGCCGTCTGCGGCTACCTACGCAGAGGCCGTGAAGCACAAGTTGTGGACCGATTCTCCTTCGGACCCTGCTACACGAAAGCAGCACCGCAAGAAGCTCAAGGATGCGTTGCACGCCGTAGAGACATCATTGGTAGCTCATGGTGCGCTTGGCACCAGCTCAGCCCAGTTGGCAGACGTGACGACGCCAAGGAGAGAGTCAGCAATCAGACGCCAAGGAGCGCGAAGGAGCGCGTCAACAATCAGCCGTTCGTGCATCTCTGGAAGAAGAAAACACACAGAACCATGACTGTGTGCCGTTTTTTCTTCTTCGAAGTTCGTGCATCTCTACTCTTCCGGCGCCAAGGAGCGCGTCAGCAACCGTAAGGCCTACACCAGCAGGGCCACCGAGCGTCCCGAGAGGGGCGCACGGAGCGCAGAGGGCAGCAGAGCAGGCGCCCAGTGCTGCCCAGCGGCAGCGAGAGGCCATCGCCACGGGCTTGGCGCAGACGACGCTCGTCACGTTCGAAGCGTTGAAACAGAACGAGGAGATGGCCGAGCAGATGCAGGCCAAAACTGTCACGTTCGCGGACATTGCGGTTAAAAGAAACAAGTTTGCACCACCCGGGCGGCACGACAACTGATGATACGACCCCCCCCTGCCCCCCGACTTTCACATTGAGAGCGGACGCGCACGCTGACATAGAATTATCTTTATTTGTTCGAATGGCCCTGGGAGATGTCTCAACTATCAATCTTAAAATCGGAGGCGCGGGGGAGCAGCAGTGCCCTCCGATTCGCAGCTCAAGCCGAATTGGTGTAAGCATGTATCTTTCAACCGCGTCTCAGGCAGCGAAGAGAGCCAGAGCAAGCCTTTCGGCAAGACGTTGTCCCGATCGCCGTTCTCGGACGCGCCTGCCGACACACCGAATGTTCTGCCACAGCTACAGGCCAATCAGTCATCCCTCCAACATGACCAACATCCACGCCGCCCTGGCCAAGATAGCGCTGCTGCATGCTGCCGAAGGGTGCTTTGCCCAATATGCAACCGCCGACGCCGCTGGCCGCTGGCGGCACCAGTGCCGCCGTCGCTGACAGGAGCCACAGCCGCAGCCGCGGCATTCTCGGGCATGCCCTGGCACAGAGGCAAAGGAGGTGTTGGAGGCCTCGAAAGGGTCACCGACACCACCACACGGGGTTGCCTCCACTTGGAGAAGATGATCCTAGACTTCGGTGTTGGTGGTATTATGTCGGCGACCTAGAAGCCCGAGCATTATCGCAACCACCGAGATTAGGAGCATGCTCCCTCGGTGGAGGCACACCGCCGATATTGGTGCTGGCGTCAAGCTCTAGGCCTCCGAAGGTGTGATCCATATGGCTGGGCTCCCTGGAGGCAAGGCCTCGGCAGCCACACAGCAGCGGGAGGCAGCGGCGCGTAAGCCCGGACAGGTGCTCATGAGTAGGGGACCGCATGCGAACCCTACCCCTACCCCCCACGATTTCTGTGGGGGAGGGTGGGGTTCATTTCGTGGGGGGTAGGGGTAGGGTTCGCATGCGGCCCCCTAATGAGGGGACGCCCTCCCGAAAGCCCACGCGCGCAAGATCGGAGAGGCAGATCCGGGTGCGGAGGTGCCAGCAGCAGTGACGAGGTGCCTTGGCCCACGACGCCGAGCTGGAGAGGCACGACGGCACGGAGGACGCCCCGCCCCGAGAGGGCGAAACGCTGGCAGTGGGTCCATCGTGTTCTGAAGGCACGGCGGTTTTTCACAAGCCCGGCCTGTTCCACATCCTAGGCCCTAGGCCAGATGCAGGTCGCCACGGGGTAAACCCTTATGGTCCTCAGCCCTCTCGCGCTCCGCAGTCCGGTCAGGGGGATTATCATTGCTCTTCGGCGAGCGGCTGTGCTCGCAGCCCCATGCCCTCTGCCACAGTGGTCGGCAATATTTATTCACCGGCGTGGCCTCGTGATCTGTCGGCGGTGGACAAACCTCCCGTTAGCAAACCTCCCTTTAGTGAAAACGGCCTGGAACCGAAACCGACGGACCTGGACCCGCAAAAATGACGGCCGCGACGCCCTCTCGCGAACCGAAAACGGCCAATTCCTTAATCGACGTGTCAGGGGAATTCCTTAATCGACGTGCCAATCCTCAACCTCCGAAACAAATGCTACTGGCACTGTACAACATATTGGCACTCGTCTACCACTCGGGCGCTTCCTCGGCTTTTTTGCTCCTGTAATATGTGCTCGAGCCTGTGCAGGCCCGACGCGAACACCGCGAACACCGCGAAGGCCTGGGCGCAATCCCAGGGCACGCACAACGCGAAGCGTGACCCTAACAAATTTCAAAACGCAGAGGCAATTGCCGTGTTTGAACGACGCTTGGCAGAGTGTCCGTCAATTCCGATCTGATCTGTGGCGCCATCTACCGACTGCTCCGTTCTTACCCGCCACCTGCATGATCCCCTTGCAGAAGCGTTGCCAGTGCGTCAAGCTGAGCGTGGTCGGCAACCCAGACAGCCGTGGATTCCGCTTCGCTGGCTCGAGCGCATCGACGAGCGCAAAAAGTTTAGCTACGAAATGTTCGGTCGGCGTGTCGCGCCTGCATCAACATGCAGGTGGCTATCGTAATCTTCGCTTGGCTCGGGCGCCTCCCTAGAGGGGTAAAGGGTCCTGTCTTCGGTGTAGTTCACTTACCTACTCGCGCCGCTCCACGGGGTCGGTCTGGCAGTCTCGGGGCAAGCGGGGTGCTTCTCTGTTCGCAGCTCGTTGTCCCCCGCTTATTGGGTGCAGCTTCCACCTGGGTCACTTGGCGGACTCTGCCCAGGCCTCAAGAAGGCCGCCTCGCTTCGCTCGATCGGCCGACGAAAGGATGGCATACTTGAGGCTTTTTGACTGTCGTACCGGCAGCTTTTGGATCAGATGCCTCCGTTCGCACTGAGCAGCAACAGTGGGTCCTCCTGGGCAAGGAGCCATGGGTTTTCAACACTGTTGGGACTTTGGACAACGTATCTTCGGCCTCTGCGGGGCTGCTCGGGACATGACTTGCCGAGGACACCCGGGCCCATGCTGAAGATTCAGCTGTGCAGGTGGCATCCGCCGGATCACGCAAAGACTTCCAAAGACGCGCTCGCTGAGCACAGGGCCATGGGCGCCGACGGCATACCTCTCCACGCCTTTGTCGATGTCGCCAACCGCTGGCTTCAACATTTTGGTGGAGAGGAAGCTGCTCCAGTGGTCCCAGCTTGCGACCTACCTGTCTAGCCTACCCGACCTGCCAGAGGAAGCGATCGGTAACATCAAAATTGAGCTTCGAGAGGTTGCCACTTTGTGTCGGGTATATCAATCATGCTCTGCTGCTCAGGCGTCGGCTCCTGGTCCAGATCGTATTCCTAGGGCTATTACAAGCGATTCGCTGTTTCTTTGGGCAAGTTCTTCCATCCTCTCATGGTTAAACGCGCGGTTCGGGTTTGCGAGCCTATCCAATGGAAAAGGTGCTTTCCTGGAGTTTGTTCAAGGCTGGGGCCCCGTCGGAGGTCAAGAACCATCGGTCGATCCTGGGATCCTCGCAAGCAAGTTAAGGATGTAGATCCGCTGCCCGAGCTGGTGTGGTCTCTGCTCTTACTGAAATTGCTGGAGATAGGCAATTCGGTGTCATACCCGGGCAACGAATACTCTGCGCTCGAGCTGGGAGCATTCCAACAACTTGCGACTGCTCGTGGCCACCGTGGACTTACCCTTTTCATTGATGCCGCGCAAGCGTTTGACAAGGCCGTGCGCGAACTCGTTTTTCGTACCGCATGTCACACCGAAGATTTGACCAAACTACTGCGCGCGTGTGGGCTCCCCCCGGACATTACCCAGGAGCTGGCTGTTTTCGTGAGGTCCCAGGTTCCCATCATGGAGGAGGCCAAGGTGTCCGACTTGAGGAGGGCTCAGTTCCGACGCATACGATGCCGCATATGATGGCTCGTTGTGCATGTTCAAGATGGGGATGGAGATGCCTTGGCATTCCTGGGCTCAGGGTTTGGCCAACGTTTAGGCGATGTAGATGTAGTGTACAATTTGATCATGGCCCAAACTATGTCGCATGCAAAATATAGTTGCTGAAAGTAGGGGTCGGGCTCAGAGTCGCGGCAAGCTCGGTCTCTTCTCTTGCTGAGTACCAAGCTGGTACAGCCGAGGCTCCAACTTACAGATGCCACTCGATGAAAGGTGCTTTCTTCGACGACGCGCACCT